ATTTGACTACTCGATATTATTTGGTTGAAAATGTTGATTAATGGAACTGAAATATGTACTAAAAGCAACAATATATTTATAATAAACAAACTGTTAAATATAACTGATTACATATATATATATATATATATATATATATATATTAATGTTTCACTTTTATTTTTATCCTGTACCCGTCTTTCTAAATGTAAAATTAGAGGTGTTTGCTGTTTTCCAAAGTAATTCAAATAAGCAATAGGATTGCACACATTATATATATTAAGTCCTGTCTCCTGACACATTCAATGTACATGCATGATCATGATGATGATAGCAAAACATATGCAATCAGAAGTGGATTTAGGAGGGGCATCCCCCCCTGATGGAGCTTAACATATATTATTAATGCAAAGCAAAGACTTTTACAGACCTACTTCTAACGTTGTATTTAGTACCCACGCCCCACCACAAAAAGAAAGAGTCGCTTTAAGTTTTTCTACAACTTTCATAACAAAGAAAGACTGGCAAGGAAAAATAAACCAGCGACGAAAGGTAAAATTACAAACTTAATTAAATCATTAAAATATTTTCATGTGACAGTCTAGATGAAGGGGTGGTCTGTGTAGAGTACGGGATCATTGAGATGAAATTGCGGGAATCGGGAGTCAGGGTTGGAAATCAGGAGTAAACGCGGAGTGATGAAAGGGAAATACTAAGAAAAACATACATGATAGACTTGCATTTAACATATCATTATGCAAGTGTCCGAACCATAGTTTGAGGTGTCCGAACCTTAGTTTTAGTCGTCCGAACGACGGTCGATCTACAATATCTACTTTACACTGGTTTCAGGTGTCAAATATCGAAATGTACCGGAAAATGTATTAGATTCTTAGGGGAAACCAGTTGAAAACATCAACCAACGGTAAGGTCAAAGAGATTCACATGCACGTTCAACGGCAAGGCCGTAATGAAAAGTGATTCTGTCCGAACCTTGGTCAGCTTGCCCTGCCTCATATTATTTATTGTTAACTTATTCTCGTCCTGAACATACATTATATATTTCCCACTAGACGTGAGACAAACAACAATCGATCAAACAAGGTCGACAGATTCTGCAAAGACTGCCTTTTACATATATTTAGAGATTGATATCGTCCTGAATATGCAGGATATGAACTCTGCCAATTTTGCACAGGAACGGATTGGTCATACATTTGGTGAATTTATCAGGTGAATAAGGACCTCATGGTAATAGTTATACTTGTAACTGTCTTTCACGCTCTGTAGAGGACAGAGTATAGTACGCTTTGAAGTATCATAATTTCAATGTTTGAAGTTTCTATGGTTAAGAAATGATTATAAAATGTTATAAATTTCGTGCGTCCGAATCGCTTTTCGAGAATTAATATGCATCAGGAACTCTCGAACCAAAACATTTGAGAACCAGGCGTGTATAATTACGTAGAAACATTGGAAGCCAACGGACCGGAAAAAGCAAAATTTTAAAAAGAATTGAAAAACTGTCCAGATATTCACCATTTATTGTTACCAAAAATATATTCTTTGCCAGTAATGGGACATAAAAGAATTTGACGCGTTTTATATGTATATATTAAAGTATGCGTTAAATGTGGCACTTCCAAGCAAGAGTAGCATTTTACACAGTTAACTGATTGAATCATGTTTGCTAAATAATAAACGTCCATTGACAATGGTTTCACGCCTATTCGGGAGGATAATATATAAGCAGAATTTACCTATCGGATTTGTTGGATGATTTCTGCTCTATCGGCATGCAAAGCGATAAATTAAACTATCACTAGAAAAAGAATTACTTAGATAGAGGCGCAATTTTACATTACAATAGGTCAACCCTAAAAAAAATGGCACTTAAGGTCTGTTAACGCACATATAGCGTGGTGTTCTCCCTATACGAGGAATCATAAAAAAAACTTATTCTTACCAGATACGACTGATACACCCAGCACAACCAAACCAAAGATTCTCTTTAGTATGGGCGAAGAAAACTACATATGACCATAATGCCATACCCAAGATTACCTTTTGGAAAGACACTGTCAATGGAATGAATTAACGATTGATATTTTAATTCTATTCAAATATAAACTTAATTGTTATTCATAAATCAACTTGTGATTTGAGACAATAAAACAACTTTGTTCAAATACCGAAATGGTTGACTGAGGTATGGAAATATTGTATTCCTGTACGTCACCCGTTCCAGCCGTAAAACGCTTGCTACATGTTAAGTGGGTTTCCATTTGCCTTTGCGGATGTATAAGCACGCATCCACATATGGTCGGAATAAGAGTTTTGTATTCGATACTTTCTGAACGCTAAGAAACACATACAAGTCAAAATGTGTCCTGTTCAAAGGCAAAATAATTTTTGCTCCTATCCTATGTAACCCTTTTTCCAGTGGCATTCCAAATGTTTTGCCCTTCTTCCCTGTCTATCTACCATTGTATGAATTGTTGATTTCTCGTCTTCTGAACATGCTAGAAGTTAAGCAACCAACCATAAGGTAAAATAGAGAATGGAAATGGGGAATGTGTCAAAGAGACAACAACCCGACCATAGAACAGACAACAGCAGAAGGTCACCAACAGGTCTTCAATGCAGCGAGAAATTCCCGCACCCGGAGGCGTCCTTCAGCTGGCCCCTAAACAAATATATATACTAGTTCAGTGATAATGAACGCCATACTAAACTCCAAATTGTACACAAGAAACTAAAATTAAAAATAATACAAGACTGACAAAGGCTAGAGGCTCCTGACTTGGGACAGGCGCAAAAATGCGGCGGGGTTAAACATGTTTATGAGATCTCAACCCTCCCCCTATACCTCTAGCCAATGTAGAAAAGTAAACGCATAACAATACGCACATTAAAATTCAGTTCAAGAGAAGTCCGAGTCTGATGTAAGAAGATGTAACCAAAGAAAATAAACAAAATGACAATAATACATAAATAACAACAGACTACTAGCAGTTAACTGACATGCCAGCTCCAGACTTCAATTAAACTGATTGAAAGATTATGTCTTCATCATATGAATATCAGGCACAATCCTTCCCGTTAGGGGTTTAGTATCATACCATCATAACATATATGAGAAGAACATAACCCGTGTCATGCCAACAACTGGTTTTTAAATAAATGTGTTTAGTGCCGATGCAAAGACCCTTTAAGTGAATCAATATTAACGCCAAAATATGAAATCTTTAATGACCTGACAACAGTATCGTAACTATATCCCTTCTTAATAAGTCTATTTAAAGGTTTTGTAAGCTTCAGAGGTGAATACTGACATTTTTGTGCTTTATAAAGAATATTTCCATAAAAAATTGGGTGTGAAATACCTGAACGTATAAGAAGTCTGCATGTTGAGCTATATTTACGAATGATGTCCTTATACCGTTGATAAAATTTAGTAAATGTTTTGACTAGTTTGTGATAACTTGATTACGTGTCCCATATATTTAGCTTTAATGTATTCTAATAAAGTAGGGGAGGGAATAAATAAAACAAAGCTCTGCGTGTACGAAATCTTATTTGAACCTTGTTAATGGAAGAAACAAAATTTAATGCAGACAAACCACACTTGGAAAAAATAAATTATGGAATTCATTAATAGAGAATATTATACCGCGTGATGAGTATATCCAACGGAGAGAACAAGTCTTTATCAAATTTCAAATTTTTACTATCGACGGAGATTGTAAAAATCCTAATTTTCAAATAAAACCCCTTCAGGGTTATTTCTTATGATTATAAGTGAAGTCTAATACCGATAGAGTATTTTGGTTCGAGCGTCTCTGACGGGTCTTTTGTGGACGAAACGCGTGTCTGGCGTATACAATTTTAGTCTTTGTAACTATGATGATTTTTTTTTCTTTTCTAACAACTCTTTGTTACATGCCGGCAAGGTGCTTAGAACGTACACATGCACAATACTATTATCTCTTCTCATTCATATTGAGTTGACTTGTACATGATTATAATTGATAAATAAAATTAAATAAAAAACACTGTCGTAAAGACCTAACATTTAGTCAAAGGATGCCGGCCAAAAGCAACTGATAGACATTATAATTTAAACAAACTTCCTATTCATACTAAAAAACAACATTTTTAACACGTAATTTTTTTTAAAAATGCCTTCTAGATTATTGCATGTATTCTTTGATAAAATCATTGTAAATATGGAACTAGATGAAAGGAACCGTATTCTTATTGCACACTAGATATAAAACAAGGTTTAATCCACCACCATTTTCTACAAAAGGAAATGCCTTTACCAAGTCGGAAATATGACAGTTGTTTTCCATTCGTTTGATATGTTTAAGCTTTTGATTTTGCTCAGAAATAAGGGACTTTTTATTTTGATTTTTTCTTGGAATTCGGTATTTTTGTTATTTTACATTTTAGATAAACGAGTTATTCAATATCAAATTCTACATTTTGAATACAAATGTTGACATGTATAGGTCATGTCTAATATATGAATAAAAATTACAAATAAAAATACTTTTAGCCCTCAGTCTTTAAGTTTACCACTATAACATTTTGAAAAAGTTCCGGTGGTCAAGTTAATAGACCTGTTTCAACTTTTACGTTTTATATATTTTCAATTTCTAAAATGATTGTTTATGTTTAACCAGTGATTAATTTCTTACATTCCATATTTCAGTTAATCTTTATCTGTCTAAAGTTTAGCAGTATATTAAACCATGTTGGTTGTTATATAAAAGTGTGAGTAATAGATAAAATTGATATTAAAATCAACAAACGTGGTAACGGATGTAACTAGAAACAAAGGAACGACAAAGGGGAGATAGTTTAAACAAATATTGAAGAGGACTTGGTGCTACTCCCATTTCAAATGTAAAATTTCCAAATGATCATACATTTAATAAGTCATCTTCCTTGTTCAAAAGTATAAAATGCAGGGTATCGTACATCGTGACATACACTCGATCAAAAATAACTGAAAGTGCAATTTGAATTTTCGACCAAAACATGATCTACGTATTCTGTTTTATTTTGGCATGTATTCGTTGTCATTATGTAGCAGGCCATGGATACATGCTAGAACCTCCCAATAGATCATCACTGTGGCGATTGTCTGAATTTAAACCTATAGCAGAACCAAATTATAATGACAATGCTCTGTTTTGTGGCGGTAAATGGGTGAGTATTATAAAAAAAAAAATAATTCTAAAGAACAGTTTTGAAATACGCTGATATACCTATTAAGACATCTGGTTCATTGTAGAATAAATATCCCGTTCTTTTTCAACTCTTTAACAAATCTTTGAATTTTTCTAAATAATTAGGATGTCCCTACCCCAGAAATAGAATACCTTAGCTGTATTTAGACAAGCGTTTCGGAATTATGGGTCCTCAATGCTCTTACTTCTTGTAATTTATTAGGCTTTTAACTTTTTGTTTCGAGCAGAACTGATGAGTCTTTTGTAGAGGAAACGCAGATCTGGCGTACAAAATAGTGAGCCTGGTATCTTACTTGTTTTTTGTTTGTGCTTTTGAGGGATGCATAAATTCGCAGCCACGTCCCGTACTTTTAATCCGATGTAGAGCGAGAGCCTGAAAGAACCCTTGCAACCACCCTTAGAGGAGTCCGTGTGTTGCCTGTTACGAGGCTAAATATTTCCCTATACACATTGCCTTTATTTCGATGTGGCAGTCTAAATGTCCTAAACTTTTATCCCCGTCGACTCATACCTTGCAAAACCTCCCACTTATATATTTATTGTTAATGGGTTCCGTCAAAAACATGCAAATAATTTTTCATTCGATGTTAAACACAACGATCAATCAATCAATTGTAAAGTTTCTGTCCAAGTTATACCGGTTGGACAGAATCAACTTGTAGAATAGTTGTTGATATGTTCCAAATATTTCCCGCTGAACGTAAAGCAACCATATAAGCAATTGAAAATTTTTAACATTATATGGAGGTTATACGGTTAGCGCTTGTATCGCTTTAGTTCTACTTCCACATATACTGAAAGACGTTTTTCGTTAAATTGTGAGTTAGCGAACCTGTTTACACATCAGTAAAATCTGATAAAAAAAATGTCTAAACATGATAATTCTCAATAGTTTTATTTTAATTTTGTCTTTTTTGGAATCGCAACATTCCATTCATATGTATTGCACATGAATATACCACAGTGACATCTACAGAGTGTCAACATAACATAATATAGTCCATCGATCGAAATGTAAACCAAGGATCTTCAACATGCATGAAATATTTGCCACTGGACGTTAAGCGACCAAGAATCAACAACCCAAGGAAAGAAAAAAAAAGATAACGGACCAATGACATACAAGTAGCTGTAGATATGCAAATCATATAAAAATTATTCAGCAGTGATAGTAAGTCTAAATACTTCAATTCATTATTAAAGAAATGATAGCGTCAGTAAACTTATGTTATATCATTTTCAGAATCTTGCATCGAATGGTGGCAAATGTGGTGTTTGTGGAGACCCGTATCAAGGCCCATACCAAAATGAGGCCGGCGGGATCTATGCTAAGGGAATTATTGCCAGAACTTACAAATCTGGGCAAGATATATCCGTCAAAATACAAATTACAGCTAATCATCTCGGTTGGCATGAGTTCAGACTTTGTGTTAATAACAATACTTCAAAGAAGATAACTCACGATTGTCTAGACAAACATCTTCTAAAAACCAGTGATACCGGTCTTACTAGGTAAGAATGAAATATTTGTTCAAACATTTCAAATTTCAGTTTTCTAAATACAAAACTACTGCTCTTATTGAACTTTAGATTAAAAAGGACATGAGGAAAAAAACAGATATAGCCGCCGTCATGTTGAATAGGTAGTTGTTTTTGGTCAAATATTTTCAAAGCACAATGACAGTTATTCAAGATGACGTGTTTCACTTCGCGGAACCTGAAAAATACTACTAGTCTACCTTTTAATGTGATTGCCTTTATAATCTTAACGTTTTAATTGGTCTGTAGTTTGACCGTTACAAGGAAAACTTTCTGTCCCTATTATACATGCCCTCATTTGCAAATGGCAGCCTAAATATTCCGCCCTTCTCCCGGATCGTTGTCAATATAATTTTAGTCACTGTCATACAAGTGAGAGGTTTAGTTAGTTATAAAACCAGGTTTAACCCACCATTTTCTACATAAGAAAATGCCTGTACCAAGACAGGAATATGACAGTTGTTATCCATTCGGTTGATGTGTTTGAGCTTTTAATTTTGCCATTTTCTTAGGGACTTTCCGTTTTGAATTTTCCTCGGAGTTCGGTATTTTTTGTTATTTTACTTTTTCCTTTCTTTGCAGAACCTACCTATTGTATTTATGGTTAAGTGTGTGCTCGTTCTTAACATGTAATATTATTTTCAATGGATGTCAAGCAAACAGCAACTATATCTTTTTGTTCTTTTTAACTTTTGCCATGGTGTTGTTCGTGTTGTCTTTGACAATGTTGTTTATTGTCCCTAGGTTTATTATCCTATTTTTGTAAAAATCCTGTGGCATAAAGGTAGAGTAAACAAAGTCTGGATTTCATACATTTACATGATATGTATTTTTTTCTTTTCATATCAAGGACAACATTCTCTGCAAATTCCGGAATAAAAGAGTTGACTTTGAAACTACCCAAGGACCTCATTTGTAGTCAGTGTGTTCTTCAATGGAAATGGCGAACCGGTATGTATAATTGTTACATTTTTACATTTGTATGTCCCCGCCGAGGAAGAGGGGCATTAAGTGTTACCCTTGTCCGTCTGTACGTCAAACAAAAGTTTTCTAACTTTTGTTTGCCTCAACCAAATGTTATGAAGCTTATATACAATATTTATTACCACGAAACACGGATCAAGTTTGAGTTTGGGCTGCATCACTTTTACCGTTCTTGAACTATGCTCCTTTATTAATGAAAACATTGCTGAATTTTTCTTTTCCGTTCTCTAACTTTAGTTTGCCAAAACCAAATGTTATGAAACTTATACACAATGCTTAATACCACAAAACTCAGTTCAAGTTCGAATTTGGGGGCGTCACTTTTACCGTTCTCGAGTTTTGCCCCTTTATAAAGGATTTTTTTGTGTCCGTTCTCTAACTTTTGTTTGTCTCAACCAAATGTTATGAAACTTATACAAAATGCTTATTACCATAAAACACAGATCAATTTCGAATTTGGGTGGCGTCCCTTTTACAGTACTCTAGTTATGTCCCTTTATAACGTTATATGCAAGCTGGGGCATCATCTGTGTCCCGTGTACACATTCTCCGTTTAATTAAGTATTCTAGTAAGAAACATAACGCCTCGTTGGTCTCGTGGTAGCGTGTTTGTCCCGAGTGCGAGAAATCGTAGGTTCAAACCCATGCCGGGTCGAATCAAAGAGTGTGAAACTGGTAGTTTTCGCTTCTCCACTAAGCATGCGGAATTAAGGAGTAAGAGCATGCAGACTGGTCGGTTCGATGTCAGAATAATGTGTCTGGGTAGGGTGATATGTCTTCCTACAGACTGTTACCTTGTGAACTAGCACTTTGCAAATCCGGCTCAGCATTTTGCATTAACATTTTCTCCTGAATTTGCATTTAATTTGCCACTGGACGTTGTTCAGCCATTCATCAACCACGAGAAACAAATGAAACTTTATATTCTTAGATTATCTACCACAGAGTAATAGTACAGTTATTGCACTTATAAAACCCGTGAACTAATTTGAACAAATCAAATATCGTGTCCTAGCGAATTGTTAATCAGCTTATCGTTGCTAAGTAATATAAACTGCTAGTATTTCTAAAATTCGTATCCCTTTACAATTTAGACAATTTAGCTCTGATATGTTGATCAAAATTTTCATCTTGCAAAAAAAAGTCTTTCATTGCTGAAATCACGTTTCATGAAGTAGACTCCGAATGATTTATTTTTTTCATATTTTGATTTCTTTATATTCAGTGTGCTCTCTTTACTAGGGTTAAACTTTTTCGTTTTTTGTTCTAGTCTTGATTTTAGGTCAATGTACCCTATTTGTAGTTGCATATCGTAGAAAACGTAAAAGCACTTTTCACAACATACACGGAATAAAATTAATCATTTCATGACTTGTAATTATTTTTGTGCTATTGAAAATTGCTGAGTATTATACTTGAGTGGAGTGGAGTTTTAAAATGTAGTGTTATGTAATAATAATATTTGTTTCTATTTCCATAGCAATCAATCCTGGAAGTTTAGAGGAGGAATATTATGGTTGTTCCGACATAGCAATTGAAAAGTCAGTCTTACCAACATACTCATCGTTGAGCACTATATTAAAAACGTCGATCCGTCAACCTACAAATACCCTTCCAGGGAACATAGTTCAACATATTACAAGTAGCACCATTTCAAGTGATAGAAAATGTAAAGCTATTTTACCAGCATGGGAAGGAAATCCGTATTTCGATGACTGGTGTAATATTCAGTGTGGAAAAACTGACTGCAAAGATCTCAGTAAATTTTGTGTTTGTGATTGAATAACTTGCTCTTTTAAATATGCCGTCCAAAATTTCTATAATTCACATCGATTTATAAATAAATTATTGTTCAAACATTGCATGCTTTTTTTTAAGAATTATACAAACATCACCACCTTTTTGTGCACCGCCACACCGTGATGCGGTAGACACACAAGTACCGAGCATCCGTTAGTACTTGTAAAGGATCTCTCATGTACAATACTTGCTAAATTTTCTTTGGAATTTATATCAAAGATTTATATCAGCATTTCATAATTACTATCTATCAATTGTTTTTACATTTATTTCCCTTGGACCTGTAAATTATATACCATTGGATAATTGCATATTTTATGAAATGAATATCAAATGCTTATCAGTCAGGAATGCCTTCATTATAAGTATTCTCACGCGTTCATTTCTTGTCAAATTTTTGTGAAATTTTTATCAGCGGTTTAAAAAATAAATACAAATAATACATGGTGGACGTGAAGAATTAATTCTAGGTACTGACGTTGTTTATCATTCTGATTACGTGTTATGGTGGTCTTTTTATTTGTCTTTGTACGTTTTTAACATTTACTGTTTAGTCCTTTTTTTTTGGTAATAACCTTTTGGCGAGACTCGGTATTTATACGTCCTGCTATTGTGTTAATGTGCTATGATAGTTTTTTGTATTTTTTTTTTCTTTCATTTTCCTTGTGTGCGTTGTCTTTAGAGTGTCTAATATATATAGTCCATTTTGTTTTTCTTTGTTGAAATAGTTATTTGTTTTATAGTGATTAATAGGATTATAACACAATTTTGACTGCTGTACCCCAATTTTTGACATTGTTACCTATTATGTCTGTTTGTTTTGCTAACACATTGATGTCAATATAATATGCGACTGTCATACAAGTGAGAGGTTTAGGTAGCTATAAAACCAGGTTTAATTCACCATTTTCTACATAAAGTTTTGAGGATACTGACTGGATATGTAAGCATATACTGTTTAATATTTCCGATTGGATAGACTTAAAAGTCGTTGATTTAAAATAGCAAAAATCAACATCACAATCATGTACATGTAAACAAAAACAATTCATAAATTTTCAACTTTAAAACATTTTGTAAAAGCTGCATTCAGTTTTATTGGATTGTATGTTGAAAAATCACTTAAACTTTTATTAAATATACTTAAAATGTTGTGTTATTGAATCATATAACTCTCTCTCTCTCTCTCTCTCTCTCTCGAGAGAGAGAGAGAGAGAGAGAGAGAGAGAGAGCTGTTATGTATTTGCTTTTCTCTTATGTGGTTGCTTACTTTTCGTTTTCATCTTTCAAATCTATTCTTTGATTGACGGATGTTGGGGCTATTCCCCGCTAATGTATTTTAACGAATGAGCACTCTCCCTACTCATATTTTTACCTTTTTCTTACTTAAATTTATTTTCAAGTTTCTGCCACTTGGGTTTCAATTGCATCCAAGTGACAGGCCTAGAATGTCCTCTTTAGTAGCACTTGAGTTTTGTTGCAATTATTTCCCAAACTGCATTTTCAATTATTCTCTACTCCTCCACCGTGTAAGCATGCTCTGTCCTGTTATCAATTAATCTTTTAACGCTACAACCATCCCAAATGTTTTACTCTGAAATGATACGATGTAATAGAATTAAATATTAATTTATATGTTTAAATAAATGTTTTATATCAAATCAAGTGGGAAAGTGAACTGTTGTGACCAAAAATAATCAAAATCTTTTTTTATATATATATACTATTATATTAGGTTTTAAATTTAAAATTTAAAAAGTTAAACACAATGCCATAGACCATATAATTTGGTAATTGCAACCTCGCATGGTAATAAGCATACAAAACTGTACGATAGATCAGATGGCTTTTTTCAGATATTCATTTTTTTTTCTTTTGGGTGATTTAATAATGGATCCTTCTTTTATGTGTATTTTTATCTATTACGGACGTGTTTGCAGTCTGGAATTTCAAACATTGTTGCTTTACGTCAAGTGGCAAATATGTCATGCATGTTTAAGTCGAGAACAAATTACCAAAAACTAACAAAAGGTAGGTCTTGTATTAGGGACGTCCGGGGTGAAGGACGAGAAATTAGGACTGCCACTGGAAAATGATGTACATTAGATAGGGACAGAAATTTCATCTTCCAACAGGCCTTCTATGGACCCCTCAAAAGTTGTTGCATGCTTAAAGTGGAAGGAGCGTGCCACTCTCTACACGAGGCATCGGATATTACATCCCAATTCGAAAGTGTCTACGTATTTATACACACAGCCAAACCGGCTCCCCTATTTGACACATCGTATTTAATGTTCCCGTTCTGACGTGGCTTCGTATTTATACATCCCAAACCGTCATTTTGTACGCCAGACGCGCGTTCCGTTTACAATATACTTGTTAGTGACGCTTGAATCAAAAAAGTTTAAAAAAGCCAAGTACAAAGTTGAAGAGCGTTGAAGACAGCTAAGGTATCTATTCCTGGGGTAGAAAATCATTAGTGTTTCGAAAAAATTAAGTTTTGTAAACATTCTGGTAATCAAACTCTTGCTGATGACTAAGTTGCCCTCAGAATGAATGTGTCTATTTGTTGTTGTTGTTGTTTTTTTTTTTGTAGTTGGGCTGCTGTTGCTGCATGCCACACTTATTATCATAATAACAATAACTAGAGCAGAAGTTAACACCAAAAATAAAGCATTGTGTCATGAGCAAGCTGGATGCTAGAAACAACAAATCAACAATTCAGTTGTTAAAAATCAGAAACACTTAAAATTTTTGAATCTGAACTTGTTTAATTTTTACAATATCTTATATAACTAAAAATAAAATTTCACATCAAAGTTGTAAGTATACAACACTTTTTCAACGTGAGGGAGCTTGGAGTCACTTTTTATTTTACCTCAATGCATGCAAAATGAATGCTTATATATTGTGTACATTCAAGAAAAAAATAAATTAGAATACGAGTGTTCTTACTCTTCCTCTTTCATCCTTCTAGGACTTGTCAAATTCTGAAAACGTTAAATGACCCCCACCCCCGCCTTAAATCAGAAACACTTACAATTCCTGAATCTGAACTTGTTTAATTTATATATATATATATATATAAAGTCCCATCCAAGCTGGAAATAAGCAACTACTTTTTCTATCATGCAAATTGTCCATATGCAAACCTATTGTTACATCTCGGCCATTACCCCATTCCATATATATTCGGTCTATATGTAAAGTAAATTTATCTTCAGGAGAAAATGTTTGATAATATGATCACAAACTGTAAAAAACAAACTCCTCCGTAAAATACAATGTAAGCTGCACTTGAAAAGTATTTCGTAGCAAGGTTGCTGTCTGATTGCTGTTTTACACACAACGCCTTTAAATCTTTCTTATAATATGGTGAATTAGGGTACATTGGACGCCATCTTCGAACGTATCATCTGTTCTTGGTTGTTCTATTAAACTGAAGCAGGTTCGTCGGTACGAACCGCATAATTGAAAAGAAGCCATGTGCCCGTTGCTTTACAGACAAGGTTTCGATTCCACCCCAATGGAAGTTAATTAGTCCTAGCTCATTTAACGCCTGATTCGAGTATTTGATACATGCAAGTTTAAAGTAACTAACTAGTTCGCTTATACAAATTATATTTTTTTGTAAGACAACTGGAAAGGAAACTTGGCAACCATCAAAAAAATATCATTTGGAAGTGAGAATTTAATATCTACCTGTTTATACATGTAGTTCAAGAAGGACTTTTGACAAGAAGAGTGTTATGATTGAATCACTTTTGATAAATAAATTCAATGAAAAGAATGCGAAAGAAATTTATTTTAATTTAGCTATCGGATACTTTGATTCATAGAAAGGAACGACGTCATTTAACATAATTATTCAGTTAGATTTGTTCCCTTTGGAGTAATAGTAGGTCGTTACAGGAACGGACACAGGCTACGTTTTCGTATCTAACCTTACGTCAGAATATAGTGCGACTGTTTAGCTCACCGGGGCCCGAAGGGCCCCATGTGAGCTTATGCCATCACTTGGCGTCCGTCGTCTGTCGTCGTTAACTTTTTCAAAAATATTCTCCTCTGAAACTACTGGGCCAAATACCTTCAAACTTTAAATAAATGTTCCTTAGGGTATGTAGTTTGATTGTATCCGAAGTTTTCAAATTGATCCATCAACAAACATGGCCGCCATGGCTAAAAATAGAACATAGGGGTCAAATGCAGTTTGTTTTTGGCTTATATCTCAAAAACTAAAGCTTTTAGAGCAAATCTGACATAAGTAAAATTGTTCAATTGGTCAAGATCTATCAGCCCTGAACTTTTCAGACGAATCGAACAACCCATTATTGGGTTGCTGCCACTAAATTGGTAGTTTTAAGGAAATTTTGCAGTTTTTTGTTATTATCTTGAATATTATTATAGATAGATATAAACTGTAAACAGCAATAATGTTCAGCAAAGTAAGACCTACAAAAAAGTTAAATGACCAAAATTGTCAATTGACCGCTTAAGGAGTTATTGCCCTTAAAGCTTTAAAGACAATTTTACACAATTTGTTCATCAAGTTTGCTAACATTTGAAAATCTTCTCCTCTGAAACTATTGTGCTTATACATCTTAACTTTAAATGAATGTTCCTTTAGGAATTTAGTTTATGAATTATATCCGAATTTTTTATCAATCAACAAACATGGCCGCCATGGCTAAAAATAGAACATAGGGGTCAAATGCAGTTTTTGGCTTATATCTCAGAAACTAAAGCATTTAGAGCAAATCTGACATGGGGTAAAAAGGTCAAGATCTATCAACCCTGAAATTTTCAGACAAACCGAACAACCCATTGTTGGGTTGCTGCCACTAAATTGGTTATTTTAAGGAAATTTTGCAGTTTTTGGTTGTTATCTTGAATATTATTGAAGATAAAGATAAACTGTAAACAGCAAAAATGTCCAACAAAGTAAGATCTACAAAAAAGTTTTATATGACCAAAATTGTCTATTGACCCCTTAAGAAGTTATTGCCCTTTAAGGACAATTTTACACAAGTTGTTTATGTTTTCTAACTTTAACAAAAGA